GATGTTTAATATTGAGCTGGATATCACTGAATGGAATTGTAGTCATAATTTCAGTTTGCTCGTCAGTAGCAGCTTTCTTTGTTATTTCATCTACTTTTTCATTTCCTGCGATACCTGTATGTGATGGTACCCAGAGAAATGTAACGTTCACGTGTTATATATTTGCCTTAAGCTCTGAAGAACAGATAAAGAGTCAGTAATGATAAGAAAATCTGAGGTTGCATGACTCTTACACATGTCTAAAGCCTTTAAAATGGCGATTGCTTCTCCTGTGAAAATGCTGCAGAATTGAGGGATGCGAACTGCATATTAAGACTTTCCTAGAATAAAGGCCGCTGCGTGTCCGTTTTCAGTTCTTGACGCATCGGTAAAAATCTTGTTATGGCCAGTGTATTCTAATATCCGTTCTTGATATAATTTGTTAATGATTATGGGATTTGTGGTACTCTTTGGATAGGCCGTGAGGGATAGATCAATAGTGGGAAAATTAATAGTCCAGGGAGGTATAATTCGTTGTGTAGGGTAAGAATGTGTCAGCTGCTCCATGTCAAAACCGTATCTCGTTAGACGTTCTTTAAGGGGTGGATATTTAATTTGTTGATGGCAATGAGTAGGTGGATATATTTTATAAAGAAGTGGATAGTTTGTGTTATTAGAGTTGGAAGACAATCTCGCGGCATAATTTAAAGAAATGTGTTGTCTTCGTATTGATAGGGGAGATTCATTTAGGATAACCTGAAAACTTGAAACAGGACTAGTTCGGTAAGCACCCAGAATTAGTCTTAAACATGTGTTTTGTATAATGTCTAGTTTTTTAAGTATATAATTACTCGCAGTTGAATAGCATATTGCACCATAATCGAGTTTACTTCGGATTAATGATTGGTATATATGCAGCAATTTTATGGTGTCCGCTCCCCAAGATCGGTTTGATAGCATTTTAAGGAGATTTATTTTAGATTGGCAGGATACGACTAGCTTTTTAATATGTTCTGCCCATGTTAACTGACTGTCCAGTCTCAGGCCCAAGAAAGTCAATGCTCTCTACTTGTTTTAAGTTGATACCATTTAGAGTAAGTGTTGTTTTGCAATCAGTTTTTCTTTTATTGAATACGATGAAACGAGATTTATCACCTGAAAACGTAAAACCAGTCTTTTGGGACCAGTCTTCTAGTTTATGCAGAAATGATTGCAAAATGTTTGAGGCTCGTGTAATACTGCAGCTACTAGTATATACAACTAAGTCATCTGCATACAGACCTGCTTTCAAAGGTAGCTTTATCTCTTGAGCGATATTATTAATTGCTATTAAAAATAAAGTGGGGCTTAAGGTTGAGCCCTGTGGAATACCGTTTCAAGACATTCTGTTTTTGAGTTAATTCCATTTATATGTACTTGAAATATCCTATTATTCATGAAATGTTTTACAAAGGCAAGAAAATTTCCCTGGATACCCCAATTGGACATGGTTTGTAAAATGTTGTATCTCCATGCAGTATCAAATGCTTTATTTATATCAAAAAATATGGCAATTACTTTCTGGTTATTTCTAAAGGACTCACATATAATATTGTCAATAGCTACTAAGGCATCATGAGTTGATCTGCCTTTTCTGAAACCGCTTTGGATATGGCATAATAATTGGTTTTTTTCAAGAAACCATATTAATCTGTTATTTAAAATTTTTTCTAGTAGTTTGCATGTATTATTTGTAAGAGAAATTGGTCTATGGGAAAGGGGGTCAGTTTTTGATTTGAAAGGTTTTAATATGGGAATAATTGTTGATTCAGACCAGATTGAAAGAAATTTTTTATTAAGGTAAATGTGATTGAAAATGTCTATGAGAATTAATTTTCCTATATACGGCAAGTTTTTGATAAATATAATTGGTATATTATCAGGACCCGATGAAGTGTTTTTTGATTTATCTAGAGCTTCTTCAAATTCTTGATATGTGATGGGGAAATTTAGTGGATTATCACTATCTATTATAGATATATCTGTCATTTCACGTTTATTTTTGAAATCTAAAAATGCGGGATTGAAGTTTGCATTGCTTGAATTATTCTTATATACATCTGACATAATATTACTAATTTCTTGTTTGGAAGATATTAATTTGTTTTTATAATAAAGAGTGTTAATATGAATTGAGTTTTGTTCACCTTTTAATGTACGTACTTTATTCCAGATTGTAGTCATAGGTGTTGATGAATTTATGGTAGAGACATAATTTGACCATGTTTCTTTTTTACTTTTCTTAATAAGATATTTAGTTTTTGCTCTAAGTTTTTTAAAATTGATAACATTTTCTGTTGTTTTATGTCTTTTTAAAACATTGAAAGCATGTTTGCTAGATTTCATAGCTAAGGCTATTTCTTCACTCCACCATGGTACTACTTTTCGTTTACAAGGTTTTGTTTTTCTCACTGCAATATTAGCGCATTTTACTATAGTATCATTGAAATGATGAAGAGATGAATCTATGCTATCTTCTAGAATAAAGTTCGTAAGATAATTATTTATTAGATCTCTATATAAGTCCCAGTTTGCTGAGTTTAATTTCCATTTTTGGTAAACAGGAATATTTGGTTGATCATGCAAAATGGTTTCAATTGTTACAGGAAAATGGTCGATATTATATAGATAATCAAGACTATTCTAAGAAAAACTTGTAGCTAATGTGTGATCACACAATGAAATATCGATGGCAGAAAAAGTACTATTGTGGAGCTGAAATGAGTAGATTTACCAGTATTCATTAAAATTAGATTTTGATTGTCTATTAATTTCTGAAGAAGTCTACCACATTTGTCTGTTTTTATACTACCCCATGTGATATTATGACAATTCAAGTTACCAAGTATTAGTTTGGGAGCAGGAATATCATCGATTAAGCGATGTAATTCTTCAAGTACATTTTCATTTGGATGAGGGAGGTAAATGTTACATATGTTAATAGGTCTGCAGTTGATATTGCATGACACTGATACGGCTATAGCTTCTAGATTAGTATGTAGCTTAATTTCTTTGGTCTGAATGTGATTTCTTACAAAAATACCAACACCTCCACTAGCATATGTTGCGTCTCGATTTTTAAGGAAATGGGAATAATTTTTTTATATTAAAGTTATTAGTTTTAAGGTGGGTTTCCTGTAAACATATTATAAGAGGAGAAAGATCGTTTATAAGTAGATTAAGGGATTCTAAATTATTAAAATAACCATTAAGATTCCACTGTAATATAAATGTATTATCCATTTTATTTTACAACGTGGGAAAGGGAGTTATCGCTTTCAATATCCGAGGATGAATCGGTAACTGAGGATTGTATCTTTTTTCGTCTTGTTAGTTTAATTTTTATTTTGCGATCAGGAATATGGTCGTGGGCGAATAGAAGTATCTCTTTAAAAGAACCCATATCGGTTGTGTAATTTTCTACTATGGGGGTAGGATAATTTGAGTTTAATGCGTTACATATCGCGTCACAAAGAACTGTAAATGTAAGAGGAAATGTCGGGTATTTAGATTCGATTTTACCTTTAATAGACTCAAGTGACTCGATGATATCAGATTGTGATGATTTTGGCCGCTTAACTGTATTTTTGGGTTTGGTAAAAATTGTTGGATCGGTGGCGTTTCATGTATCTCAGGAGAGTCAGTAGATATTTGTCTCTTTGTTTTTTGATGGGAGGCATCAGTGCTCAAAGTAATAGGATTGTTATTTTTAGTCGTTTCGTTGTGAATATCTTCTGCTGTTATTTGAAAGTTAGTGGTATTATTAATAGGATTTCCTGCTTCTGTTGTAAGATTTTGAGGTTTAGACGGGAGTGATATTGTAGATTGAGATTCAATGGGTGTTTCAGTTAATGTCAATTGTGATAGAACAGGGCAGTCTGTTTCCGCGATGACCTTTTGACATACACTTAGGGCAATTTAAGTCAGTGGATAGATAAATTCGATAGTTGGTGTTGTCGAAGGATATTGTAATGAAATCTGGGATAGTGATATTTTCAATAGGAGTGATAATAATTTGTCTTCGAAAGCTTAAAACGTGGTTATAGGCAGTGCCCGGCATTCCAACTCGCAGAAAAGTCATCTGGGATACAGTATTAAGTCCTAATTTTTTCAGCTCAACTTCAAGTACTGAGTTTGGTATGGTGGGACAGACAATTGAGATTGCCAGTCTTGTAGCAGGAATAATTAGACGTCTTACTTCAACTTCTGAATCATTAATGGATATTGATGTATGTATCTTCAGCAATGTATTGACTACTTCGGTATTGGAGAGATAAATACAAATTCTGTTATTTGAGATGCGGGATGCAAATAATATATTTTCTGGTTTTACTACATTTCCTATTGCTATCACGTATTCATTTATTTTTATTCCATTGAGAGCAGATGGGACAATGGCTTGGTTTTTGGTTGGATATTTAAATGAAGTAACAGCGTTGGAATATGAACATGGTTGACTGTTGTTAGGAGAAGAAACAGAACCAACAGAATCTTCATCCATTTTTAAAAATATTATTCATATTTTGGTACCTCTATTCTTCAGACGGTCCTGTTTGTCACAACAGAATCGGTAATAAGGTACCAAAAGTTGTGTAGTTGATAAATCCGGTAGCAGGAACTTGTTTTGATATAAGTATCTTTAATTATATTATAATAAATACTACTTACAGTTTTTTTTCCAAGTAGTTCAAATTTATTTTTATATTAACACTACACTTTATTTATCAAATGAATATGTCGAGAGAATATTATTTATGGGCAAAATTTTCTTTTGGTTTTATTCAAGTTTGTTGCCTTCTAGCAATTTTTGTTTATGAAATTTTGACAAAATCACTCGACTAACGTCTCGTGATTTAACTGGCAACAATCTTTCATACCAGTTGAAAATATTTCCGGAAAAATTTTCTCTCATGATATTATATATGAAAAAATTAGTAATACAAAAAATCATGTGATAAAAAGTAAAAATTAAAATGACTTACTTGTTTTGACTCTATCTTATTAGTCAGCGGTGATCTCCTAAGTTTAATTTCTTCTGTCTTCTCAGTTGTTTCACAAACCACGTTATGTTGCCTTTGCGCAGCCCTCATTCTTTGTTTGGTTTTCAAAGAATTGCTTTTCCGTCGGGACAAAACACTTTTTTTCACTGTAGTTAATCTAAGAGATCTCGGTCTAGTCTTGATTAAAGGGTTGTTGTTCCTATTCGGTATCAATATGCGTTTTATCTGTTTCCTCATTATTTCCGATTTCGTGTTTGTTAAACTGGATCTGGTGAAGCGTGAACTGAAAAATGGTCAAATAAAATACAAATTTAACTCTAAAAGTAGATTTCATTATACAGGGTTGTCCATTCAAAAGTGTACACCCCGATATTTGGCAATATTAATTCGATTTTTAGACAGGTATTTCACTGGATAATTAAGGCATCCATGATTTTTCTTTTCATATTAACTCTTTTCTTGTGAAAAAGCATAAATTTATTAAAAGTGTTACACCTCTTAAAATCTAAACGTAACGCCTATGTTTAGCTAGTATTAATGACAATTTTTTCATGTCAAAAACTATATTGAAAGAAATTTGCAAAAGTTTAGTTATTTGAACTGTTGTTGGTAGCGCGTAACATTACTTCCATATTTTTTGAAAATGGAAAGTGTGCAAAAACAGCGAAATTATTGAATATAGTTAAAAAATTTCATCACACGGAATCAGTGCTGATAAACAAGGAAGTGTGAAAAACGTGTTGGGACTGAACCGGGAGAAATAGCAATTTTAGATCATGTTAATTTGGAACCTGCTTTTAGTACAAAAAATAGCTCAAGAATCTGTTTTTTCGCGCCCTACTTACTGTCTCTTGGTACAGGAAAGAAATGAAGATGATCCAGACAGGCTACTTCAGATTTGAGAGATTATGACCAAGAACATAAATGGGAATCCAAACCTTCTATTTAATATTTGTTTTTGAGATGAATGTATAGATTAGTTGTTTAATACAGTAATCTGTATTTAGTGCCTTTTCTCATTATGTGTCCGAGATATTATAACTTTCTCCTTTTAATCGTATACACCACTTCTCTTTCTATCCCCATTCTTCGTACAGTCTCGTTGGTTATCTTGTCCGTCCATGATATCCTTAGAATTCTTCTGTATAGCCACATCTGGAAGGCTTCAAGTTTTTTCTCCATCGCTTCATTGAGTGTCCAGCATTCAACTCTTTAGTATAATGTCGAGAAGATATAACATCGTAGGAGCCTTACTTTAATCACCAGATAAAGATTGTGGCTTGTAAAGAGTTTGGCTATGTTGTTGAATGCACTCCTAGCCTTCTCTATTCTACATTTTACTTCTTGTGAGTGTTCGCATTGTTCGTTTACTATTGTTCCAAGATAGGTAAACTGTTTTACTCGGTCCACTGATGTATTCTTGATAAGCAGTTAAACGTCTCTAATTTTATTTTTGCTGATGACCATAAATTCAGTTGTTGATATGTTTACTTGTAGTCTAAATCTTCCACTTACTTCATTTACTTTGTTAATTAGTTGCTGTAAACTGTTTAAACTATCTGCAAAAATAACGGTGTCATCTGGGAAGCGGATGTTGTTTAGGCGTTCTCCATTTAAAAGGATTCCATGTTCGTAATTTTCTAAGGTTTCACTAAATACTTCCTCTGAATATAGGTTGAACAATATAGGTAAAAGTATACATGCTTGTCTAACGCCTCACAGAATCTGAATCGCTTCCGTCATATTTACCATTTTCTAATCCTGAATAGTATGTTCTGTATTCTTCCATGTCACAATAACTTAAGTCAGGCCACCTCATTTCGATTGTGCCCACTATTGCTATTTTCATGCGTTTCATTTCTTTGATGGCGCATTGGATTTTTCCTGATTGAGCCATAGTCCTAACGTTCCAAGTGGATATTCTTCGTGTGGATTTTCTTATAGGAGTGTTATTGGGCATTTCACAGGGATTTTGCATATTAACGACCCGAGAGGCCCTGTGGTCATGAGAATCACCTTTCTTGCCAGATCTTGGTCTCCGATGTCCATGATCAGTAAGCGAGTTTGTGTTGTGTTGTACAGCCATTATGAATGTACTAGAGATATAAACAACGAGAAAAGGTGGTTGCTCGTTGCATTCTATATTCTTATGCCGTTGATCAAACCACTGATTATTCCGCGTTTGGTTTCTCAGCACCAGGACAAAAGAGTGCCCTACCACCTACTAACTCGTCCGCCTGAAACCGTTGGTCAGCAAGTGGGGGATTGCTTAAGCCGGCAATTATTCGGTGAAGTACTGTAAATCGACACAATTACCGTTATTGGTGTGATGAAAATCCTAGAGATTTCCACGAAACACATACCCAACAGCCATTGAAATTAAATGTATGGGCAGAATTTATGGGGACCGTATTTTGGGTCATTCTTTTCGCAACAAGATTTTAACGAAGAAACACATCTAGAATTATTAGAGGACACAGGTGATCCCGTTCTGACATATATAATCTAAAATGATAACAGATACTCAGAAAATGATTTGTTTTTTCCAACAAGACTTTCGACTTTTCCCATGGGGTTAAGAAATTTAGTTCCCATAAGAACTAAAACGACGAATAGTGCATGAATGTAGTTTAGAAACCCCTGAAATGCTTCAGAATGTTAGTCGTAATTTCGAACATCTACTTTATAATTATATGGATGATGGTGAATATCATGAACATTAAATAAATAATTATAACTAATAAGTGTACACCTACATTGGAACCGTATTTCTCCCGATCCGATATCGGGCGACGTCGGCCGACGTCGGATTGAAAACAAACTCAAGGTATTAAATCATATTGCCTATACTGCTTCCGTGACGAAGAAGTATAGGCACTCTGATTTAATACCTTGAGTTTGGTTTTAATCCGACGTCGCCAGATATCGGATCGGGAGAAATACGGTTCCAATGTAGGTGTACACTTAGCAACCTATTTTGAATTATGAATTTATTAATGTAAAATTTTGTTCATTTTATTTACGTTACATTTAATAAAGGTTCCTATTAATGTTGTGAATTTGGTTTTAACGTAGTTTTTGACATAATATACAATAAAGAACATATACGTTACGTTTCGATTTTAAAAGGTGTAACATTTTCAGAAAAGTTTTAATATTTCTTCACAAGAATGGAGTTATTAGGGAAAAAAATCATGGATGTCTGAATTATCCAGCGAAATAACTGTCTAATGATGTACCACATATGGTATGTTTTCACATAATTCCATGAATGATGCCAAATATCAGAGTAAATATCTTTGACTGGGCAACCCTGTATAATTTGGGAACAATTATTATAATAAATTCTAAAAAGACTGTGACTTGTACACACTTCTAAAATATAGGTCAAACAACTGTAGTTTTTCAAAAAACTTGATAGTGTATAAAATTTTTTATTAAAATGAGCTGAGTTCTTTCGGCATGTAACATGCAATCTTGAGCTTCCTATAAGGAGCAATATTTTAAATTAGTTTTTTACAATTACAGTAAAACCTCCGTTATCCGAAATAATTTGGGGGGAGGCGGTTTCGGATAACAAGAATTTCGGTTCAGAAAAACATTGTTTTTGTATTCTTCTTGTATCAGATTATAGTATTATTGGTCAAAGTCTAATAGGTAAATAAAGAATAAAGTAATAAAATTAAGGAAAATGAGTTTAACATGTTTTTTTAAAGAAATCTGCTATTTTCTGTTGTTTTCAATTTCTTCTGTCGTTTTTCAACATTTTCTTCTTCAGGATCGTCAATCAAAATCCCATCAAAAAGTTTGTTCCAGCATTTTTCCAAAGTTGAAGATTTGTTCTTGGCCCACGACTCAGCACACCAATAAACAACATGTTTCATTGTTAAAGATTTGAGAATTTCGGGAACACTTTTGGATTCATTCGTCTCCTGTAATAACAGATACCTTAAGAATGCTCCTCTATAATGTATCTTGAATGCCTATTACTCCCTGGTCTAACGGCTGAATTAAGCTCGTGAAATTCGATGACAAAATCTGACAATTATGTCTTCATTTTGTAGACGTGTAGTTTTGTAGTTTGAGCGTGAGTTGGCGCATTGTCAACAAGCAACAATGCTTTGATCGGAAGATTTTTTGGTTTTGAAAAAGATTTTACACTTGAACGAAATGAACGAATTCATTTTCGAACCATTCTGAAAATAAAGTGGTCGACATCCATGAGCTTTTTTGGCTTCTATAAAAAACTGGAAGTGCTTTTTCTCAAATATCTTTTAGAGCTGTTGGTTTTTTTTATTTCCCAAGATACATAGGCCTCAATCGGTGAGTTTCTGCTGCATTACTACAAAATAATCACAAGAAACAACAAAATCCAAGTTTCATCCAAAAATATAACTTTCCTCAGATTATCAGACATTTTATTGTTTATGTATTTTCTTAAAAAATGCCACCGTTTTGAAACAACATTAGAGAGTTCACACACTACTTGTCTATTATTTGTCTTTGTATATCGAAAACCTAAATGTTTCAGCACACTCCACAAACTTGTTAAACTAATATCACACAGTTAGTTGTCTTTTATTTTTTGTAACACAGCACTAATTGCTACATGTTCTTTGACTTTATACATATTATATATAATATTTTTTAATTGCAAGTTTAATTGACTGGTGCAAATCCAAAGTTTTTGTATGTCGACGATTTCTCTTGCTTACTGTATTTATTTCATCCTCACTCATGTTACTAATAATTCTTCGGAATGTCCTCTCTGATATACCGCAAGCATCGCATGTGCGTTTATGAACTGCCATAACAGATGTCAATGGACCCATATTTTTTTTCCAAATTGGAATAACTTACGACTTTCAGAACTAAACGCCGTTCTTCTGGAGATAACACTCTACGTTTCGACTGTATTTTATTTTCTTCCAAATTACTCATTTATTTTAAAGTACAGCTTCACTACACTACTATAAAAAAATAGGTACTTATATTCAACCACTACACCCTAAAAAGGACGAGGGTTGTAAAACAGACGAAACAATTGAACACAAATTATTTAACAGCCAATGCTAAACAAGCATAAACACTGTATTGATTGTGATTGCAAAAACAGTTCGCATGTTTTAAATAAGATTTTTGCTAATTATGTATTTTGTTAAATTATTAAATAACACCAATACAACCCACGACCATCAATTAATTTTTAACGATAAACAAAAGAAAAATATGATGACGTTTGAATTTGATCTACTTTGTCGATGACAGTGTCGTTAACGGAAA